TTATATACTTGAGAATTACTTAGCCTAACTAAGGATCTTCAAAAACTTATAGCTGTGTTAAAGCAAGCTTGAAAACAGTTACAGACCATGGGCAAGTTATTGCAACCTAGCCCAGTCCCAACTTGTCTTTGTTTCCAACCCACACATGCATATCACTGCCAAGATTAATTCCCCTAAATCATTCTCACTTTGCTTAAGAAATTTTACTAATAAGTAAGAGCTAATACCAGTGGAGCTCTTAACCAAGTGCTCAACATTATACTGAACATTTAAATGAAATTTCTTATTTAATCCTCCCAGTAACCAATGAGGTAGTTCCTATAGTTCTCCCTGGAGATGAGGAACCTTTGGCTGAAAGAGATTTAATAGTCTACCCAAAGTTGCTGAGCTTCTGAGTGGCAATGCTAAGATTTCAAATCTAGGCTTGAGTTGAAGCTCTCAACCCACTGCAATATCTCTGCAGAGATCCCATTGGTCTAATAATCACTTAGGACACTTGCTTAAAACAACAGTTTATTGGGCACAACTACAAAGCACATGGATCAGAATTTCTAGGGCAATTCTCCGAATCATAGCAGGTTTAGGAACCCCTACAAGTTAACTTCCTATTTCCCACAGAATGAAGTTGATTTCTTATATCTAAACTCCTTTTAGCAGGTTCTAAGATAAGGGCAAAATTCCTAAAATTGGCCTACAAAGCTCTTCATAGTCTATCACTTAAGTGATTGACCTTTTTGGTCCCATCTTGCCCCAAATCCCCTCTCAGTTTTGATTTCCCCTATTTGTCATAGAGGTTTCCTCCACAGGGTATTTGCACGTACTGTTCTTTAGTCCATGAAGCTCCTCTCCCCTTCCTTAATCTAGTTCATCTCTGCTCTTCTTCAGGCCTCAACATAATGGACATTTGCTGAGAGAGCCTTTCCTGACCTCTGTGCCGAGATCAAATCCCTAACTCTACTCTCACATAACACTATGTACCACATTTGTAATTTTTAAAATGTATTTATGTGATTATCTCTCCCCCACTATAAATTGTAAACTCCACAAAGGTGGGGACTGTGCTTGTTTTTGCTTATTATTGTATCCCCAGTCCAGCTTACTGCCCGTCACATAAATGGTTCAATAAATATTTGTTAAAAGAAGTCATAAATTTAATGCCTTTTAACTATTCCCTACTTAACCCGCCAGCCATATGGTTCACTCTTACTCAAGAGACCTACAGTAACAAAGGGTAACTCCTCTGTCTACATCTTGTCATCTTTATCCAAACCTAGGATCCTTCTCCACCTCTTCACCTAAATAATTCCTCCTATTGCTACAAGGTAGAGCCTAAATTCCCCTTGTTTCACACACCAGCCCAGAACAGCCTCCTCTAAACTTCCACGTCACTTTGTATCTCTCTATGCCATTCACTTGATGCTTCATCATCTGCTGCCATGTATCATTATGAAATATTTCATATGTAAATGCTTTGTTTTACTTTTTTAAAAATTTAAGTGTCATTAGGTAGTTCGTATGCTCTTGCAAGGTAGTTACAGTTTAATTTGCTACAGGAGTACCCAGGCACATCGTAAGTCCTCTGGAAACATCTGCTCAATGAATTAATGAAGAACTTTTTGTGGCCAGCAACGTGGACTCAGACTGCAGTTTATCTCCAAATTTGGTAATTGACAATTCTCCTTGGAGGGCACCTGGATATTTTATGTTATCTTTATGGAATACCTCCAGGGCCTCTTTTGGAAGACAGTTCAAAACAAGTGCGACAGGAGAAGATTAAAGTAACATACTATCTTAAATTTCCTGACATATGTAATACTCAGGTATTTCTAAATCCATTACCAAACTATTAATACTGTATTCCATAACTCTTTAGGATAACTCTACATTGTCAATCCTTGTGCATGTCCTTTGAAGTTAGGAGAATCTTTAAATATTTTCAGTAAATTAATTTCTATTTCAAAATATATCACTGAGGAAAATATTTTTTTGGCTGTAGTTATGTTGTTACTCTCTTGGCTGAATGATTGTTTACAATACACCTTAACCCCATGTAAAATGCAGGAGTGCATTTGAACTTTTTTTTTTTTTTTTGCAATTAAGCAATTAAGACTTTTTTCCTTCAAAATCACAGAGTAAATTATAATTCCTATTATTCTGAGTATTATTTGAAAATGCAAGAACTGAGACAATATTGACAGACAATATTGAAATTCAGGGTATATGTGTTACTCATTTTAAATGCAAGGAATTAATTTATTTTGTGAGTTTTATTAATCATGATTTTTGCCCGTACTAATTTAAAAGTATTAAAGTTTGATGATAAGGAATTATCAGTTCTCTGTTTCTTTTTAGATGTCCTATGAACATTTTATACATAGCTAATTACATTTGTTAACAGCTTCATTGAGATGTAATTCACATACCATAAAATTCACTCAAATGCACACAATTCAATTTCTTTTAGTATACTTACAGAGCTGTGCCATCATCACCAGAACCTCATTTTGTTTTATTTTTAAAACAGAAATATAATTTACAAAGTTGTATTACCATCCCTACTTTATGTCTGGAACAGTTTCATCACCCCAATACAAAACCTCGTATCTGGCAGTCTCTCCCCATTTCTTTCCAGCCCTTACAGCCCTAGGCAACCACTAATCTAATTTCTGTCTCTGAAGTTGTTTATTCTCAACATTTAATGTAAGTGGAATTGTATGATATGTGTTTTTTGTGACAGGCTCCTTTCACTTAGCATAACGTTTTCAAAATGCATCCATGTTGTCGCACCTGTCAGAACGTCCTTCCTTGTTATCACCTAATAATATTCTGTTGTATGGCTAGACCACATTTGGTCTAGTCATTCATCAGTTGATGGGTATTTGGGTGGTTTCTGCTTTTTGGCTGTCGGGAATAACGCTGCTATGAACATCTGCACACAAGTCTTTGTGTAGTTGTATGTTTTTATTTCTCATGGGTAAGACGCCAAGAAGTGAAATTACTAGGTCTGGTGCTAATCACTCCTAAGATTAAAAAACAGCGTTGCCTTTTTTTTTTCCTATTTCAAAGGACTTATGACACAGCCAGGAAACAGGATTTTCATGCAGATGCTAATATCAAATCCTTTTTAAAAAAAAAAAAAAAAGTTAATCTGCACACAGCTTTGCTATCAAAAGAACTGTGTCATATTACTTTCCAAATTGGGATTCACATAGGAATTCTAAGATGAGGTGAGAATTCCTTTACATTTAGTATAAATCATAAAACTAAATGAAGTGTGCGCTGGCCTATTTAATTGGTAAGCTAGGATCAAATTCTATTTTTTGAGCGGAATGCATATATCCGTCTCCTGTGGCTGACAACTGCTTAAGAGAAAAATACACAGTGAGGGAAGGCGTACACCGTAGGCGACGCAAGAAATAGGAATTTAAAATATCAAACACCCTGATTAAATTACATACTTAGTCCCGGGACTGTGTCTCAGTTCATAAAAAAAAGGTGAAACCTGGCCAGCGTGGGCAGTGGTGGAGCATCGACCTAGGATCCAGGAGATCGCGGTTGGATTCCCCGTCAGGGCACATGCCCGGTTGGGGGCTCGATCCCCAGCAGGGGGCGTGCAGGAGGCAGGCGATCAATGACTCATCATTTACGTTTTTCTCTCTCCCTCTCCTTTCCTCTCTCTTAAATCAATAAAGATATATTTTTAAAAATAAAATATGGCAAGTGCAGATCTGCAGTTTAAAAAAGAAAAAGGCGAAGCACTAATTGTAAGTCATGTAAATTCCCAAAGCCTTTGATAAAAGCACCTTTCAGAAATTGGAGGCCTCATAAACTTCTG